GGGAGGGCTGGGGAGTGACTGCGCAGGAGAGTGTAAGAGGGCGGGCGGAGGGCAGGAATGCGGGGAGAGCGGGGACCGTGAGGAAGGCCGGGGAGAAGGGGCAGCGAGAGGGGGACCAGTTGCAGTGGGCGGAGCAGGGAGGAGAGGAGGCACCGAAGGGAGAGACGGCCGGAGAGGGGAGGGCACCTGAGTGAGCAGCAACCCAGCGGAAAAACACAAAATCAAAGAGAAAAAGAAATAGGGAGGTGGATATACAAAGTAAAAGATGGCAACACAGCATTAGAGAGGCAGGGGGTGGAGGCTGACGGGGCCGTGGTGTTGAGGCTCTGGATCCTGATGATTGCTCAGTGATTAAGTTGTGATACATTGGTGGCTTTAAAAATACACCTAAATTCGTTTCAGTGGTAGAGATAACACTGAGAATTGCAAAACTTCTAATAGGCTTGGGCAATTTATATTGTATGTCAAAAAATAGCTTAAATTTGCAACTTCTTTCAGCCTGGGGGCAGTGATGTGGTCAGTGGTGGGTCACCCTCTTCCGTTTTCCCGGTGTGGGTTAGAGGTTGGGCAAGACAAGTGTGGTCGAAACGACTGTCACTGTACGGTGCTCTTTTTAAGGGTACAGTAAAATGACTGCTTTGTTTTTTAGTTTCTCTATAGTGGAATTTTATATATGTACATCTATATATAGACACCTAACATGTAATTCATAATTTGGTAGTTTGAGATAAATGTTAGTTCTTTCATTTTCTACTTCCTTATGATTCTCAAATTAAGTTTTGGTGGCCTTTAATTAATGAACTCATGTCATTCTTTTATTAGGATTATACATTCTAACATTTACTTTTGACATCAAAATGACTTAGACCTGAAAAACTTAGACATCATTTCCTTTTTAAACTTGTTTGTGGTTTAAGTCAGGCCTGCAGTCTCTGTCCCCTGTATCTTCTGTCTTGGACGTGTTCTTTGGTTATATAATTTTAAGACTGTTTGATGTAGTTGGTAGGGATGTCAGTAATGTTTTAAGAGTCAAAGACTAATTTAACCAGTTTTGTAGTACTCAGTTTTCTTCCCTTTTATGTGATTTCTTAGCATAGTGAGCTGTGACCTCAGAGTAGTTGTTCCCCTCTGGTCTCTCGTCTTTTTTCTGCAGTGTTGAAGATGTGCCGGATTGACTTGGAAGCTCTGTGCAACAGAGCCCAACTATGTCTGGTGCAGCAATATTCTCAAAACAAAACCAAAAACAAAACAAAACCTCACCCATGTGTAAAGCTGAAATGAAAAGGAAGTATGCTCAGAACTTCTACAACTTACTCGTTCAGTGTTGTGCACACCTATAGTCGCTTTTTCACAATTCTTCATTTTAAAAACATTTCACAATGACTTTCTGGAAAGGAATTAAATGTTACTATCAGGGTGAGAACCTGGATGTGTAATCCTGACTCATGGATAAGTTACTTCAGTCAGCAGCCACAAATGGTGGTATGTGCATCCGAAACAAACACAAGTCTTTTATGCCCTGTATTCTCCCATCTTTAAAAGCAAACGTTATTGCACACACTGCACAGTGGGGACCCTAGCTGTCCCCACAGCCCTCTTCAGGTCACAGGCCCCGTCTTGATCACACCCCATGGAGGCCTGACAGCCCTCCCTGCAGCTACCCCCAGCCTCAGGAGAGGAGGCTCAGCGCCCTGGTGCTCACTGCTGCACACAGATGACGTACATTAAGGTTGGTCCCGTCTCACCTCCTGGAAGGAGAAGAAGGAGAACCTCTGGTCAGGTGACACTATATAAAGGTTTTCACACCGATAGTAGCATGTAACTCCGTTTCCAGGAAATAATTGTAAAATATTTTAAAAATACAGAATTGCAAAAACATAGCTATATGTGTGCAAAATATTGAAAGAGAGTCAGTTGTAATCTCTGAGCAGATTTCTTTTTAATTTCACCTTTACTGATGCATAGGTTTTTGGTGCAGAGTGTGCGAGGGCTTCCCAGGAAGGCGGGATCTGAAGAGATGGTGGAGGAACTCACTGGGTGGCCTAAGGAGGCTTCTGTCTGCAAGTACCTCCTGAGCAGTGGGCAGCAGGTAACTGTCCTTTCCACACCGGGAGGTCCCCCCATGTGATTGTGGCAAAGGAAGGGAATGCGATGATGACTCTAAGCATTAAATGGCATGTTTTCCTCATTCAGGATTGGCTTCTAAGAAAGACTCATGTTCCCTGAGTCCAAAGTCCGGAAAAAGAGGACGGCAGAGAAGGAGCCGGGAATGGCTGTTCCTCTGGTAAAGTCCCTACCCTTTGGGTGACCTTCTGTCTGTCCTTCCTGCAGGGCCCTTCCTGGGTCTCCCTGAGCTCTGACCCTGACTGCGTGACCCCTGGTCACTCCACTCGCCCCTCAGCACCTCTCATCCCCACTTCGGTTCCATGTCAGCTGACCCAGTGACATGGGGCTTGTGCGGGGGACGGGGCGTCAGGGTGGGTGGGCAGCAGGGACGCGTCCGGGGCTGCACCTGGATGCACCGTCAGCTCTCTGTAGCCCGGATGAAAGAGGCTGCAGGGGGAAGCCACGTACTAATGTTCATAAATATGTGGCAAGTTGTGGGAAAGGAGACCAAAGAGGGGCGATCTTTTCTGCCTGATTTTTAATATATTTGAAGCTGGACACGTGAGTCACTGGCTCAAAATCTTAATGATTGGGAAACACCATCAGAGATAGGTTGTGGGATTCTATCATGCATTTTAAACTATGGTGTCCACCTTTCCAGCACAGATGGCTCCTGGTCGTGTGCGTGGTAATGACCTGGCTGAGACTTCGGGTAGTTTGGCACTTTGTCCGGTACTCCAGGCTGGGTGCATCCTGGGCCGCTCCCTGAGCCTGAAGGAAAGCTTCCGGTCTCACTGTTGTGTGTGCCATTCTGTGTGTGCCTTTCATATAGGGGCCTCGTGTTTACTATTCCTGGTTCCTTCAGTGTTTATTTATCTTCAGAGTTTGTCAAACGTCAACAACTTTTTTTCCATTAACTGAGATGATTGTGTGTTTCTTTTCCCTTCCTTCCTATTAATCGAGCGCATTAACATTGAGTGGTTTTTGTCTGTTGAATATTCCTAGCTGTACAGGAATAATTCCACTTGTGGTCTGTACTGGTTTTAATGTGCTGTTGAGTTTCATTTGCTCGTATGTTAAGAATTTCTGCATCAATGTTCTTCAGGAATATCGGTCTCTACTTTTCTTCCTGTGTTTTTTTCTGGGTTTGCTGTCAGAATAATGTGATTCCATACAAGTGTTTCTGAAGATTTATAGCAGGATTCATGTTTATTCTTCTGTAAGTATTTGATAGGCTCCTGGGGAAGCCTTCTGGTCCTGGGTGTGTGTTGGAGGTTTCTGAGGACTGCTTGACTCTCTCTCGTTGTGACTGTTCACATTTTCTTTATTACTTGGTGATGCGGTCTGCAAGGTTGTATGTTTCTCTGAATGTACCCGTATTTTCTAGGATATGTAATTTCTTGGCATATAATTGTTCATAGTACTTTCTTATAGACCATTTGCAACATTTCTGTGACACTTGTTGTAGTGTCCCCCTTTCATTTCTGATTTACTTGAGGGTTCGTTTTCTCTCTCTCTCTCTCAGTCTAGCTAAATGTTTGTCAATTTCTAAATCTTTCAGAAAACCTGTTCTTGGTCTCTTGATTTTTAGGTAGTTTTCCTATTCTGTTTCATTTCTCCCTGCTCTGATCTTATTCCTTCTGCCAAATTTTGGTGCAGTTTGTAATTTTTCTGATTTCTTGAGGTATAAATCCTATTTCTGATTGGAGACCACTCCTTTTCTGTAATGTAAGATTTACCACTGCAGGCATCCTCAGTGCCACCGTCACTACGTCCCCCAAGTTTGCTGTGTTGTATTTCCATTTTTATCGTGATAGTTTTAAAAATCCATGTGATTTCTTCTTTGACCCATTTATTGTCTAAACATGAGGTGTATTATTTCCACATGTTGTTGAGTTGTCTGTTTTCCCTCTGCTATCTGTTTCTAGCTTCACTGTGGATAGAGAAGATACATACTATTATTTCAATCTTTGGACATTTCTGGTTTGTTTTGTGTCATAACATGTGGCCTGTCCTGCAGAATGTCCCACGTGTGCTTGCATAGAAGGTGCCCTGCAGCTGCGGGGGGTTGTCCTTCCCGGCTGTCGGGCCCGTGGGGCTGTGGAGCTGTGTGAGTCCTCGGGCTCCTCCTTGCCCGTCTGGCTGGTTGTTCTGTCCATATTAACACTGGGGTGTTGGCTCTCATACTATTTCTGTGATGCTGTCTGTTTCTCTGTCCCTTCCTTCAGTGTTTGCCTCATCGGTGTGAGAGTGTGGGCACGTTTATAGTGGCTGCATCTTCCTATGAATTGTCCCTCTTGCCATTCTACTGTCCTCTGTCTCTTGTGACATTTCCTGTCTGGCCTCTTTCCTGTTCTCTGATATAGCTACTGCTGCTGTCTGGAGCGTCCCGGTGGCATCGAGGATCTTTCCCTCTTTCCTTTTGAGCCTCTTCCTGTCCTGAGATTCGTGCGTCTGTAGTTTGCCTGGACAGCAGTGAATGGCAGGAACCCTAGGCAGTGCCCTTTTTGCCACCATAATTTCAGAACAAATGCATCCAGTGTTGTAATGATCACGGCGTTTGTTGAAATTTCTAGTGTAATAACAGTTTTTTTCACAAATATCCTTTCTTCATGATTTTTCAATTATCTAATAGTTGTTTCTAAGTGTTCATTTTTGTGGTCTTTTTTTTTTCTTAATGAGCTGTAATGTAATGTGTAAAGCTGATAACCTCCAAAGCTCAAGTCATTATTAGTGCAGTAAACAGTCTATTTGGCTTTGTTTAATGGCTACATATTTAAATTTGAGTGGATAAAATTATATTTTTGTATATGAGTATTTTATAGGGAATGAAGTATTGTCGGTTTTTTTCCTTGTACTTTACCCTTGTCCTCCTATTGAATAATGCTGACAAACTGAAATAAGTACCATTGGTTTATTTTCATTGTCCCAAAGATGGTGAAATACATACACAAAAATGATGATGAAAAAAAAAATAATTCAAAAATTAGTCGAGAGACATCTTTTCCCATGGCAGGTAATTGGTGTATTTGTAGGGACATGTACAAGAACATAGATGTGTAAGACCATTGTTGTTTTAAAAGACATCTTATGGTAAACAAGTTTATATTTTTAGCAATGGAAATTATATCTTCAGTATGTTCCTTGGCCTTCTACCTATTTCTTCCACTGTCCTGTTAATTATTTAAATGTACTTTTTGAATGCGTATGTGTGCATGTATAATATCCTTTTATGCAGTCCCAAGTAGTTAACCTTGAAGTTATTTCCAGTTTCCTTGTAGAGGACCCTCTGTCCGTGTACTTTCGTGCTCTGTTACTTAGCTGTTGGATTCTTTAATTGTAAAGGTCGACCACCTGAGTTCAGGTGCTTGCTGTGTTGTTTCTTAGCTGTTGGACCAGAGGCCAGTTTCTTACAGTGTCTGTGACACTGTTTTACTTCTGTAACATAAGATGGGCACAGAACTTCCTCAGATGAACTATTAATGCTGATAACATGTTAGTACATGTAAAGCATTGAGTAACACCCAGCATGATAGAAGCGTTAAAGCCTTTAAGCCTCTGCTCTTGCTGTCATCACAATGTTTAGGTTCCTACTTTTCTTTTTTTTGGCATCATTAATCTACAATTACATGAAGAACATTGTATTTACTAGACTCCCCTCTTCACCAAGTCCCCCCCACATACCCCATTAGTCACTGTCCATCAGCATGGTAAGATGCTGTAGGTTCACTACTTGTCTTCTCTGTGTTGCACAGCCCTCCCCTTCCCCGCCCCCCACATTATACATGCTAATTGTAATGCACTCTTTGTTCTTCCCCCCACCTCTCCCTCCCTCCCCACCTATCCTCCCCAGTCCCTTTCCCTTTGGTAACTGTTAGACCTTTCTTGGGTTCTCTGTTTCTGCTGCTGTTTTGTTCCTTCAGTTTTTCCTTTGTTCTTATATTCCACATATGAGTGAAATCATTTGGTACTTGTCTTTCTCCGCCTGGCTTATTTCACTGAGCATAATACCCTCTAGCTCCATCCATGTTGTTGCAAATGGTAGGATTTGTTTTCTTTTTATGGTTGAGTAATATTCCATTGTGCATATGTACCACATCTTCTTTATCCATTCATCTACTGATGGACACCTAGGTTGCCTCCATTTCTTGGCTATTGTAAATAGTGCTGCCATAAACATAGGGGTGCATCTGTCTTTTTCAAACTGGGCTGCTGCATTCTTAGGGTAGATTCCTAGAAGTGGGATTCCTGGGTCAAATGGTATTTCTATTTTGAGTTTTTTGAGGAACCTCCATACTGCTTTCTATACTGATTGAACTAATTTACATTCCCACCAGCAGTGTAGGAGGGTTCCCCTTTCTCCACAACCTGGCCAACATTTGTTTGTCTTTTGAATGGTGGCGATCCTTACTGGTATGAGGTGATATCTCATTGTGGTTTTAATTTGCATTTCTCTGATAACTAGCGATGTGGAGCATCTTTTCATGTGTCTGTTGGCCATCTAAATTTCTTTGGAGAACTGTCTGTTCAGCTCCTCTGCCCATTTTTTAATTGGATTATTTGCTTTTTGTTTGTTGAGGTGCATGAGCTCTTTATATATTTTGGATGTCAACCCTTTATCAGATCTGTCATTTATGAATATATTCTTCCATACTGTAGGATGCCTTTTTGTTCTATTGATGGTGTCCTTCGTTATACTGAAG